ATGCAACCAACATAGCAACTTCAAACCACACTAAACATTATTAAATATACATGCAGCAAAACACTACATTCTTGTACATGATGTTTAAAACAGATTCCAAGCACCAACATTCTTCATCTCGATTTCCAAATCCCCATACTAAAGAAAACCTATTCGGGGCATGTATATACACAAAAGTTACTGGGGACGATGTAGCTTCAGACCCTACCTCTGCTTTTTCACAACTTGAAAGACCCTACCCGGCTTGGTTTACCTCTACCTCTGCTTTTTCAGAACTTGAAAGACTCTACCTGGCTTGGTTCTTACTTCTTAGTATCTCCCGGAATGTTGAACAGGAACTGAGGCAAAGATGCTATCCTAGGGAGATTAAGCAGCAATTCTCCAACTGAGTCCTCCCTAGTCATTGATGCTGGCTTCTTGTAACCATAGGTATTATCATCGGACTCATCCATGGGGATAGGTTCGTTATCTGTAGTTGATGCGCTAAAGTTGTCATCTATTCTCTTTTCTGGCAAAGATGCATCAGGACAGTTTTCTCTTTTAATTTGCAAGTTTGGACCAGCTGTAGTATCTTTCTGCAGAAGGCAGCAAAGAGAATTGACCCTTGACATGAGAGACTTCTCATCTGAGTCGGGCATGTGTTGGATGTCGCTGAACAAGCATTGTTTAACATTGTCCAGAATTTGAAGGCTTTGCCATTCCTCGCTTGAGAGTGATGGATAGTTAGTGGAATTCTGCTCGGATATCCGATGCTCAAGATAGCTCACCATATCACTCATTGACATAGAGAAGTGGAGACAAGGCGCCCTGATCTGATCCCAATTGCTGAGCACCTTTAGTTGCTCCATCCCCCCAGTTTTGATATCTTCAATGGTCAGTATTTCCCTAGCTGCGTATAATAGTAAAAGGACTTTCATGTTATCAGAATAAAAGAAGACAAGAATCTATCTACAAACAACACAGCAAACACGAACAATTGATGATAATTCTAGAGGTGGCGATATTGTGCAACACAGAAATGTTACAACGCCAAAAGAAAATTAAAGAACAAGTATCAGCACAAAACGAAGATGAATATGTCCATTTTTCAGTATTTCATGGCAGAAGAGAAAAATATTACATTATTCCCTCTATAAACTGTAGGGACAAATAAACACGGGACATTGGAAAAATCTTCTTTAGCATGGAAGATAGTAGAAGAGAAAAGGAGTATTTTCCTCATCCTCACATATATTTTTGTTTAAATCTCAGAGTGGAGAACTTACGGACATGAAAGTGATGACATAATTATCAATACAAGCAAGAATTTTGAAAGATGCAATTTGACATACTCCTATAAGAAGATGCACTTGTCACATTAGTAAATTCCTTCATACCCTGTCCTAAATTGGAAGTGTGGACTAAATTAGACTGAATTGAAATTCTATGTTCCCCCAGCAGGTTTTGGGAATTTGTAAAATGAAAATCCTGGGGCAAAATATCTAGCAACTCTCCTTGTTACAGATGACCATGTGCCAGCTAAATGGAGATGCAAAAGATAGATAGAGGTCCAGGCATCAAAGTCCAGACCCTTATCACCATGTAACTACCCATCCAATATCTTTTGATTTTTAAAAGACTTATAGATTTTGGAAGAGACACAACTCAAAAGCTATATGTTGAAGTTGGAGAGTCCGAGTGTATATAAACAACACATCAAAAGTCCATACTTTTGATGTGGAATTCAAGTCATTGAAATGGGAACCACGACAATCCACCACGCTCCGTGACCTTGACGACCACGTCAGACTGACTTTGCACTAGCCTATAATTAGTCCCAGGCGAACAATGTCATGCCGCGTCACCATCCGCATTGCTCGAATGCAATCGGGAGACACCTACTCTGGTACCATTGATATAGATTTATGGGAGACATCGTACCTACTCTGAAGTTGGAAAGCCCATGTCTATATAAATTACACACCGAAAGTCTATACTCTCGACTTGAGATTTAAGTCTCGTACCTTACAATGAAAATCATGACAAAGCATTGTGTCCTACACTTTTGGAGTTGTAACTAGATCCAGTTTATAAGCTTATCAGACTCTTGTGCTTTCTCGACGTAACTTTGCTTGGGGACATGTCTTCTATATTCTTGCCCTTGTCTTTTCCCATACTCACCTCACACATACACACGCCGTATAGGGAAAAAAGCCTTCATGTATATGTTTCTTTTACTTCCTAGCTTGGCAGTTTAGATTGACATTGGTTCTTCACTTCTTCTAATCCTACAGATCAAAGAATTTTGATTGGTACACAGGATCAGTACTCCTACTTAGTTGCAGGTAAGGTAGGGTAATCAAAAGCTGAGCACTGCATCACCTACTCCCCTCTCCAAAACAAGAGAGGAAGGAAAGAGGAAGTATGAATATCCCATATAGAAGTCATGTCCATGCCTGGCCCTTCCCCCTACCATAATATAAAAGGGGAATCGAACCACATTGAACAGGGCCAAAACGCTTCTTTGTGTTGAACAGCCTGATCCAATCAACTTAAAAACACAATTTACAGTCAATACTACCAGTCTTGTGTCAGTCACATCCTGATTCTAGCCACTTCTTGCCAAAACGGATACCCCCACAATGACCCGTATTACTTGGTAATCAAACCCCCAAGGAAATTCTGAATTCTTAAACATGTTACAAAATGTAACATACTAACAATTTAAACACTATGAGATCATTATTAAATTGGAATTTCCCAAAGACTAATAATACAAGAGGCTGTAGAAATATGGAACATTTTCTAATATTAATACACCAGAAATCCAAATAGTTTTTTCTTGGTGTTTGAGAGTAAACAACATAAGGAGTAACCTATCATGTAAAGATTGATACCCTCAGATAGTTCCCATAGAATTGAAGAATTCAATAAAAATGCAAATCCTGAAGATATAATCTCATCAAACAAGACAAAGCATTATTCTCTAATAAGAATTAATCCAGGCGTTCATTATCCGTTAAACTTAGAAGCAACGGTAGGTTTGAAATTCCTCTGTGTACATCAATGGTAATTCAAAAAAACCTACTCATTGACTCCTAGTACCAAAATTTACAGTACAAGTAAACAAAGTGGAGCCCGATGATGATCAACTTGTTAGCCAGAAGCCATAAAATGACTCTCCTATAGTAACATCAGGTTTGTCCTTCATTTATTTTTCTTTATTTCATCAAAGGCAAGATATTCCAAACCAGATTTCGATACATGCAATAATAATTATAATTGAATAAAAAACAAATTATCATGTGGGAAATCTATACACAGGATTAAGGAGTCCCTTTTTTCATGTGGAAAGGAAGAGGTAAAAGAAACCAGGCCATCTTAAAACAACTAATTAGAATAGAGAGCATGCCAGACTAGATATACTTCTTTAAGTATGAACATAGTTTAGCCCTTGTTTGAGCCCCATTTTGAGAGAAAAATGCATTTTTGAATAGTAATTTTTGGAGAATGTAGGGTTAAAAATGAAGATTTTTTTTCGATTTACGTATAATATTTTTTTATTGGAGAATGTGTGGTTTGAAAATAAGTTTTCAAAAAATGATTTTTTGATAAAATGGGGATCAAACAAGGGCTAAAATAAGCATACTTCTATGTAACTAAAAAACACTAAATTTAGAGCTTGTTTGGTCGAGATTAAAATTGAAAAACTAGCCATTATTGTTAGCTTTTATTAGACGAGTGGGACTCAATAACGGCTATATTTTCAATTTTAATTGGATTAAGATCCCTCCCAAACAAGCTCTTAGCATACATTTCAACATCAACAATTACAGTTCTACCTGAGCTTGGTGATGGAGTTTCGCCAGGGTAAGGTTCTGAATGTCTACCAAGAGCATCGGGTTCATATTTTGAAGAATATGATTGAGCTCCAGAGGGCGAAGCTGGGTCCAATAAGTTTGAAAAGGAAGAACTCTCCCCACTATTCATATCAAACCCACTGTTGTTTTCATTTGGATTATCAAACACAGAGATTCTGGGCTCAAAATATGGAGAATCCAATGTTATCTCTCCTTGCTGACTGAGAAAGTTGAGACGGGGATCGCATTGAATAAGTTTTTCGAAATGCTTTCCTAGCAAGCCTTGTGGGCTCTCCAGATAATGTCGCCTGAAGAAGGAAAAAAAAAATCACCCACATGTATATATGTAAGAGCTTCATTCATAAAGACAACTAAGTCACCCTACAAAAACTGAAAGAAAACCAAAAAATGTACAACCATACAGATGGCAGGAGTCCTCATGAAACAGCAAAGTAAAGACTCTAAGAGTACAAAAACTATAGGAAATCCAGAGACACTGTATCTGCCACACTACAAGATACAAACGTAACTACGCGGTAGAATTTTTCAATTAGTAATCTTTTGCTTTCAATTTTGTATCCTGCCATGTTGGGCAATCTACCAATGAAATTTAAGCTTGAGAATAATAGCGAGGCATTGGAGCACCATACTACTAATAGTGTAGCAGTGTGTGTTCGTGTGTTAGTTTTTCAATGTCTGATATCACCATCTGACATTTGACATTACACTATTGGCCAGTTGCCGCACACACTGCAAACCACAAATAAATTAGCAGCATAAGTGAAGATGGTATTTGTTCTCCTATAATTACACCTTTTGTCTGAAATTACACAAATCATTTTGCATATCATAAAGCAATATTCCTCAAGCCAGCACGACGTTATATCTTTCACACAAACCAAAAGGAAATTATACAAAGGTTAAAAACTTCAAATAGAAGCATTATTTTCACAGTATAAACAATTAACTCTTCTGATCTTGCATTCTGAGAAAATTACAAATATAAGAAGTGATCTAAGGTTTAAAATACACAAGCGCACACAGATAATAGAGGTAAATTTCTTTCACAGTTAGAAGTGAACTTATTCATGACTGCTGGATCACAAAAAGGAATTAAAAAAAGAAAAAAGAAAGAAATACAGAAATTTGTTGGCTCAAAAACATAAAATAAGCATGGTTAATTTGCTCCCAACCCAGGTAGTAGAGATGACTCACCTATGTATGCTAGCCTGTCCACCAGTAAAATCTGTTGTTGCCTGCCAAAGAGTGTGCTTTCTAGGTTGCGGATTAGTCTCTCTGAAGAAAAGAGGTTGCCTGGCCAACTGCACATCAAAGTGCCAAATTTATTGTCAATTAATTATCAACGGCAGTTATGCTGCAACATAATAAGAGTGAAGTGAAGTGAGTGTTTATTACCACAACGTCTATAGTACCAGGACCATCATCAGGATAATTTGCCCTGAGACCCATTATATCAGACCATTGAATTTCAATCTTATTCTTCAGTCCCCCATCAAGAACTTCCCACACCAGCTTATGCTTCGCAAAGTAACATTTTGCGACCAACTCCCCTTCATATCTTGATTTGTACTGCAGATCCAATAAATATTCCGGTAAACATCAGCCAAAAAACTTTAATGTTCAATGACTAAATTCCATTATACACCTGTTTTATAAGAAAAAACGTGAAATTCGAATCTACCTCCCAAGTCCCAATTCTAAGAATAGAGGCAGGAAAGTTGGAGGCCTTCAGCTTATCAGTAGTGCCAGAAGCACCCCCTCTCTGTTCTTTTTTACCATGACCATGACTTCCAACTTTGGATGCTCTTGCTTGAGAAAGCTTTGCTTGGATTAACTCCAAAAGTGATGGGCTTTTTCTCAGTTGCAAACCCAATGGACTTGGCTCATCAAGTGGGTTATACTGCAAAACTGACTCTGGAAAACTTCCCATGCCCAGACCCTGCTGCTACAGTGAAACACAAACATTACTAATATTACATTAACCCATTAATATACAACAACTGTAAACTCAAAATAGTGGTTGATACAGAAAAAATATGTTTGCATGCATTTAAATCAAAACTAAATTCAGTCCTCGTTCGTCTTCCTTTGAAACAAAACTCTTTAATTCTCCAACTCATCTTCAACCACACAAAAAAAAAACTATTCAAAACATCATTTTTTTCAAAATAATGACCATCAAACAGGGGCTCAATATAATCATACAGAGAAATTAATTATTGCAAAATTAGTGGCTACTGGTGACAACGGAGTAACCCGTCAAGTGACCAAAATAAATTAAAGATTATAGTTCACTGCAGAGTTGATTTTAGTTGCTTGTAAAATGAACAGCATTTAGGTCAGAAGAGTCGACCAAATAATTAAATTAATAAATTAATCAACAGCAATACTTGTTACAAAACAAAGATGAGCGAGTACATTAATAGCACTTACACGCAGATCAAGATCACGTCAAGGTGAATCAAATATCTAAACCAAAAAGGGGAGAAAATTCAGCCATTGAATAATAGCAAGAACAATGATCAAAATCTTCTACTCATTCTTGCAATAAAATAATCATATCCACACTCCTAAAATGCTTAATTTTTCACACACCTACCGTGTTTATTAATTTGAAATAGTCATTCAAGCAAAAATAAATAATACACACACACTCTCCAAGATTAGGAGAGAAAAAAAATACTTTTTGGCGCTTGGAGAGTGGTCCATGCTCTTCTTCTAAAGTATCCTCCATTTCCACCTTCACCACCGGCGTCTTTTCGCTGTGCGAGTCCGGGTTGCCGTTTTTCATCAACTGCACCATTGAAACAGAATACAACTCTACCTGTTTTTGAGATCAAATAGTATGAAACCCTAACCCTTATAGACAGAAACTGAATTCGGCGGTGAGTCGACTCGAAGATTTTTAATAGTAGCTTCGAATTTTGTTGTGACTAAGAGTTCGCTATTGCTGAAGGAAAGAAGAAATGAGGGAGAAATAGAATTCATTTTCTAATTTATTCGGCGGCGGCTCACACGTGTCGCCTTTACGCGCTTTTGGGTTGTGAGTTGTGAATTGTGATGCTTCCTGGCACGTGCTCAGCGCCTAATCACACCGTGGCTGGCAAATTTTGGAATGACGTAGCATTTAAATTTATAAAAGGAAAATCAATTGGATAAATTGCACCATTACTCCTTAACTTTTTATTTTATTAGCAAGTTAATCCTTTTAACTTCTCAAATAATCATTTCTCAAACTATAGAAAATGTTCAAATCTTTATCAACTCGTCACATAGAAATCACGAGTTTAACTTTAAAAAAATTATCTCTTAATTTAGATTGGTGTACAAATTTGAGCTAGACATTGTCCGCAATTATTAAGAAATTGTTGTTTAATTATGATGAAAATTTGATAACTAACTTTTTCTTTTCTGACGATTTGGAACCAATTTGGCTCTAAAACGATAGATTTGTTAATTTTATTAATAAAAAGTGCGCCATTACTCATCAACTATTTGAGTGACAACTTAAAAACACAAGTTTTTTTGATAAAATTTGTAGTTGAAAGATTGTGGATCTCATAAATATGTTGTTAAAATTAATTATCGACTTTAATTTAGAATAAAATCTTAATTTTAATTTTCACAAAACAGAGGCGTAGTATGTGTTCGGTAAAGATTTATTGAAAATAAATTTTGCAATAGAATAAAATCTTAATTTTAATTTTCACCAAACAGAGGCGTAGTATGTGTTCGGTAAAGATTTATTGAAAATAAATTTTGCAAAATGTGATTTATGAAGAATATGTAGTCAGAAGGTACAAAAAAAGTTATAAATTCACGTGCAAATTAATAAATTATTGTGATAGAATGCGTAGTTAAAAATTATTTTTTTTAAAAAAAGAGTGTTAAAATATTGGGGCCAAACTTGAACTTAACTTTATTAGATTAATTTAAAGCCTCGATTATCAATTTATATTATAAATTCAGTCGAAGTGAAATATCCATTCACATATTCAAATTTGTGTGTGTATCAGACATATGAAATAAACACAAGGGTTTGGACCATTATAGTCTGGCGAACTTCACCATCTGAAGTCCATCATCGCTTGGGCTTGGGCCAATACCAAGCTTTCTGTTATGCCTACCACATGCATAAAAAAGAGAGGAAATGGTGATCAATGGCCAGTTGACTCAACCCAAATTTTCACAATGATCTTTGATCATATTAAACTAACAAAAATCTCTTGAACACCCTTCATTTCGAATGAAGAAAAAAGAGGAAAATTCCAAAAAAAAGGGAGGAAAATCTTACTAAAGAAATCAACATCAACACTATTCACCATCGTCATCTTCATCATCTTCTACACATTGAATCAAGGTCAGCTTTTGTTTTTATTGTTTAAATTTTATGATTTTACGAATGAGTTCTTTTGATTTTTACATTCAATCATCATCAAATCTATGCATTTATGCTTTTAGTGTATGGTTTGAGATAGAAATATAGTTAGAATTGATGTTAGAGATGGTTTGGGTGATTTTTTGTAACGGAATTCATCGAAAATGGTGAACTCCTCCATGCTCACGGTCATATGGGCCATTTAAGGGTATTTTTGTCTTCTACGTTTTGAGATGGCCATTGTGGTGAATAAAGAATAAGTTAGGCTTATATGGTGAATGATAACTTTGACATGGCCATTTAGAAATTACAACCTAAAAAACATACCATATTACTCACCTACCGCCTTCTTTAAATTCGTAACATTTTCCCAAAACGTAGGAGTTTCGTGACAAATTTCAACAGTGACAGCAATGTTTTTAGTATTGGAAGAACCAACCTACTAGATACACTTACGTTTGCTTGCGTTTAGTAAAGAAAAAGTAACAATGTCTGTTGTGTGTTTGGATAGGGATGATATCAGGGAGAAAATAGGAACCGTGATTAGCCTCCCGTTTGTCTTCCATTCTTTCAAAATTCTTTTTTTACTGTCATTTTCAATCACATTTACACAATTAAATATTTTACACATAAATCCAAATCAATACTTTTTAACCATACATTCTTCAAAAATTCACTATCCAAAAAAGTGGATGGTGAATGTTTTTAACAATGTTTTTCAAAAAAATGACCTCCAAACAGGAGCTAAAGAAACTCCCAATCATCATTCACTCATACGTGCCTCCGGATTACTGCAGAACCCTTTAAACAAACTTCCATACAGATTGGAACCAAAAGAGGAACTGTAATCTTGCATTCAAAGGTTGAACTCCCCCAATATGGGGCCTCTATGTGTCCACTATGGACACTATTATTAGCATTTCCCTTTTAATTAATTATTGTGACTCATTTTTAACTTTTTAAATAATTTGGGACTATAATTGTAATTAGTTATTTATTTATTTTTCTTTTGGTTTTATTTAAATAGAGGGTATATTCGTTATTTCACAACTTTTTATTGAAAAATTGGATGAAATTGATGATTTTCGCAATGAAATGTATAAATAAATGTGAAAATGTATAAAAAAATGAAATGTGGAGACATTTTGCACAATAAACTTTAAACGTATAGACGTTTTGTGTTAATAACCCCTGGTTCAATATGTTTTATCTTGTGTTTGATGTCCTAGAATTTATGGTACCAACGGCAATTTGAATTTGAAATTTTGAATGTGTGAGAATGTGCGTGTTTTATGCGTTGGAACTATGTGAAGTTGAGGTCATGTTTAACGGTAACTTTTAGGGCATTGATTAGGTAGTTGTGTATTGAAACTTGTTGGCAAAGTGGATATAAAGCATCAAAAAGCTCTTTTTTGATCCCCATTATTTTCAAAATGAGTAATGCTATTTAGCCTCTGTTTGGCGTTCATTAAATTAAACTACATTATATTAATTTTGTTTTCTCTTCATTATAACCACACATTTATCAAATAAAATAATATTACACACAAATCTAAAACTTTTTATTACTTTTTCACCACACATTCTCCCATCAATTATTATTTCAAAAATTTTCAACTATAAAAAATGTCAAATAATGGGGGCCAAACAGGGGTTTAACTTCACTAAGATGGGGCTACATAGCATTACTATTTCAAAATACACTTTCATTGTTTTCTATTCAAATCATATATTTTTCAATAAAATAATATTACGCGCAAATAAAAAAAAATCCTTATTTTTTAACTTTACATTATTCAATAATTTACCATTCCAAAATGCATTCTTATCTTTTTAATAGAGCTCATACAAACTAATTTGAATGGTTGTTCCAAGCTTGCTTATTTTATCGATGGGTTGGGGTTGCATTAGGTTTTTATCAATTTTTTGAACGGTCAAATCAATTTTTATTCACATACTTCAAAAACCATAAATATTACGAACAAAATACACTTTCCAAATCAGAAACTCAAGCTATTTATAAACATTTTTCATCGAGTTGATTAATATGTTTATTTGAATGTGAAAAATGAAAAAGAAGTCGAAACTCAATAAATCTGCCACCCTCCTAATTTTCCCCAAAAACAAGTCAGGAACAAAATCCATATTTTCATTTGGGAGGTCATGCTGGCGTACATAATGGGTGCCATAATTGACAAATGGCGTACATAATGGAAAATGCTATTTATTTTCCTTTCATTTGTTAGGATAACTGCTTACAAGTGTCATAAAATTTTTCAAAACATTTTCCTTTCAGCAATATACACGAAAAAACAAGGAAATCATGAAAGAGCAGAATGACCTACAAGAATTTTAAACGACTTCAGCAAACTACCATTGGGGCATTGTTTTGTTCAGAATATTAGATATAAATTATTTCTTAATCGTGTTTAGTAGTAGTGTACTCTCCACCTCATTCACTCATTGAACAAGCCATTAGAGTACTAAAATACTTTTAGTTTTCCCTTGGCAACAGATGCCTTCACCTGCTGCAAATCACACGAAGCTTTTGCAAACCCTGTCAATCCGGAACATGAATCACCAGCCCCAAGAGTGACAGCGAAGTATAGATATATAGTGTAGAGAAAAGCTAGGAGACAAAGGGCAGTTAGAAGGAACCGGTGTCTTTGAACAAGAGTCAACCAACTTCCCAATTCATCACCTCGTGAGTGCAGTCTCGTAAGTGGTAGTGAAGAAAATGCAGTCTGTGACTGAGACCTCCTATGAGGTGAAGATAATATGCCATCGAGAACCATAGTTCCCAGAACTGCCTTCCACAATCACACCCGAATATCTGCACATTTCCAATTTGGTCTAATAAGTAGAATAGTTTCATTCAGCTGAACTTTATCAGTAAGAACTATCATGTAATTGACCAAAACAGTAATTACCAATAATTGAACTGTATGTTTCTAAGTTGGAGCGATGTGATACGCAGGTAACTGGTTGCGTCCCTAATTTAAAAGTCTCGATTGTAAACCTCTGACGCCAGAAATGAACTTATCAAGAAAGCTAGATGAAGACAGCTCAGAAATTGGATGGTTCAAAAACTAAACCGGCAATTGTAGAAGAAAATAATATGACAAAGAAATCAGAAGTCACAGAGACAATGACGTATAATGGCTATAATTAATGGTCAAAATTCAATAGTTTACGTCACAAAGCTACCATATTCATATAATTCTAACAGGAAGCAGTACAAAGAAATAACTGACTCGGCCCAAGATCTCCAGCGTCTTGGGAGCATTTGAGATTGTCTTGCATATCACCTTTGAAAAAATTCAAATGTCTGGTTCAGCAAAATGCACAAAGCCTTAATGGCTCTTTGCGATGTCTTGTCTCTTTGAGGGAAAAAGACAAGAAAAATGTTTTGAGGCCTGCTCAGGCTACTGCCTGGGCCAAAAACGTGTCCCAGGTAATAGTTAGATCTTGTCTTTTTTTCTCTCTTGAGAAAGCATTAAACAATTTGAAACCAATCGTCAAGGCCATCAGTTATCTACACAAGGCATCAGAGAAGGATAAAAAGTTTTTAAAACCCAAATATGTGCACTTATCAGATGCAAATGCAGGTATTCTGATGCCTACATTAAGCACCGTATAGCTGAATTTACAGAGCTGTCTATTACTTTGTAGAATGCTTAGATGACACTAACAATGCTAAGGCAACGCATACAACTTATGAAAGACCTATACCATTCATTGGCAGTTGTAATGGACCCTGTGTGTGATTACACTTCACAAGCTTAAATTGACAGTATTATTTAAGAATGTACCTTCATATCTCCAAAGCACTAAAACTCAGTTGATCTCTTCTTCATCCTTAATTTTTCTTGTGGGAAAGAAATTATGCAATTCAGGAAAATGTTCGTACGACAGGGATGGATCACGTGAAGTACATAAAATCTATAGGATAACTCTGAAGTATCTAACTCCATACACCGAACCACATAATGCAAATTAGGTTCTGGAAGGAGCATCTTGCTTCTACCTTGGCAAAAACAAGTTTTCACGATACCAGGCAAAAAAAAATTCAAAATCTGTGACTAATAACTTGTTCAGCAAAAAAGAAGCACGTGAGACTAGACAGACAAACCAAATTATCGAATCAAGGAAATTTTGATCACCCTAAGTTTTTTATGATTTCTATTTCACAACCGTCCCATTCAAATCCAAAAAATAATAAGACCTCAATTTCATGAATTCACAGAAAATAGCTGAAGATTTGACATGATTCTTCTATAAATAAAATTGCAATCCTGAAATGTAACCAGCTGAAAATCAAATGGGCATTATCAGAACAGATCTGCTAGAAATCGTGATAATAAAGCATCCAGATTCACGAGCAACACACGTAATTATATATATGAGAAGAAAAAAGAAAGAATGAACTTACAATTGAAGAACACAGAAAAGAGCTGTAAACAAAAATCCGAGTTGGTGAGGATTATGCCTTCGTCGTGAACTGCGGATTTCCTTTATTCACAATAATATTTTTTCAGCAATTACGATTTCAATTTCCCTATAATATCTACCTGTTAAATATTTATGTCCTTGTACATCACAAGGCAGGTAGAAGATGTTTGGGTAAGAGCGAGAAACCCACGCCTTGTGCATTTATTGAATTATTTAAGCACGATCCGCGTTGTTCCATTCCATGGCTGCACTTAGATTCCAAATTTCGGCCAATTCTGCGCTTGAATCCTGCAAAAAGAAGAAGTGCATTTTGCAAATTGCACCGTAAAAACTCAATTTCGTAAACTATAAATCTTTCGTGCGATAACTTAATAGGCGTAATTCGGAAAATTGAAATGCTTGCAAGTTGCAAGTACTGCCTTACTATCAGTTGGTCTTCAACTTCTTGCTGTAGTTGCAATTTTGATCATTAACAAAAATTCACACTTTCCAACGAAAGTAGTCCAGTTCCATTTATTAAACTTGGTTAATATGTGGAGGAGTTTCGAGTTAATTCTCAAAAAGACTTGAATTTTTCTTGAAATAGTTCAGTATAATTGTTGCTTTAACAAAAATTATGCACCATTGCACATGATATTTTAACAAAAAATTTGGATGAAATATGTAATGTGCTCAAACGGTTAACCATAAGAATGGTCGACTACCTCTTAAAGAATTTCCGTCGCATTTTCTAAAATTCAAACTCACAAGGGGACCACTTTCAAGTACGCAATAACGACAACAAAAGATGCATTAAATATATGATAGCTACAATAACGGAAATAGGGTTGGAAGCAATCCATTTTGAAGAAAATAAAATAGAATCGAGAACCATTGTGAATCGGGTAAATAATAAATTGAATTGTCGGTTCCAACGTGAATTATGGAACCAAATCGGAAACGAATTGTTCGATCTGATTTGGTTCCGTAATTAAAGTTTTAAAGTTGTAATATTTCTAATAACAATCTAACAAATCATAACTCCCAAACCTTAACTGACCCTCAAAAGAAACAAATATCAAGTTTTGAACACAATGTTTCAACTCAAATACAAAATAACAAATAAATAAAATATTTTCAGTTTTAGGGGCTGAATTTCCGGAAAATACTAAAACAACAAAAGGGTCGATTCAAATATTTGGTTGTCTAAAACAAATAAACTAAATCATAAATGGCCGGTTTTCAATTCTAGAGCATGCTTGAGAATGTGTGGTTAAAAAATAAAAAAAAAGTTTATTTATTTTTTTTTTTTGAAAAATGTGTGGTTAAAAAGAAAAATGAGAAAAATATATTTTGAAAAAAATGAAAATCAAACAAGAGCCTAATAAATATTACCCGAATTTAACTTAAGGAAAATCGACATAACCATTAGGTTTAATTCGATCGATTGGGTACTTTTGTACATCCCTGTCGATAGCCGGCTGACATGGTGCAAGACAAGTAGGATAGGGATTTAGGGCATGTTAAGTACAGCTTAAAATCCAATTAAAATTGAAAATGTGGCCGTTATTGAGTCCCACTCGTCTAATAAAAGTCAATAATAACGACTAATTTTTCAATTTTAATCTCTACCGAACACGTCCTTGGTTGCCATAATTTCTACATAATACAGTTGGGCAGTTTCCATTAGAAAGTGGCAAAAAATAAAAATAAAAACTTATTGTAGTTTAGTTCTTGTTGTACTATAATTTTCTTTCTTATTTAGGTTATGACTTTTTATTCTTTTATATTTTTTATTATATATTCTTTTGGATTTTAATTACCTATATTTCTTAAATCAATAGGATTCGGACATCATTTTGCTTGTATAAACAATTGTTTTGTACACTTTTTCCAATTTTTACGGTCAAAATATTTTATACAAATTTTGGAGTTTTTCAACTTTCTTCTTCTTTTAAGAATTTTAGTTCTCGTTCCGCACCACCACATGTATTAAAATATCATAAATACCCTTGACTGTACAATACTCAGAACTTGCAGAAAAGAGTAGGTGTGCAATATCTTAAAACTATAGCCCAATATTTATCCCCACATTTATCTATTTCACACTAAATCTTTCCTTCTCATTATTAACTTGATTGTCAGTATGCAAATGGTTACCGGAACACTCCTTGATATGACGACTTTTGCATTTTAACAAGAGTCCACTGCGTGTAAATGACATGTGCGTGACAATAGGCGCTGAGGTGGCTAGAAATATGTTGATTGTGTCTTTCATATTAAGCTCATGTTTGTTATCCATTTTATCAAACATTATTTGATACTGTAAACATTCTCCACCACATATTCACTCAATAAAATATTCTACACACAAACCAATAAAATTACTTTACTTTTCAACAACAAATTCTCCAAAAAATACTATTCAAAACTTTATTTCTTCTCCCAAAATGGGAGACAAACAAGCACTAAATATCAACCATAGAGATAAACCTTGATATTTGTTTTTAAATCTTAATTTTTTTTTCCACGAAGTTACATAGGTTTGTTTTCACAATTCACCTTTTCTTTTTTATGGGCACATTTGGGCTCGATAAGACCCATATTGGATTGGGTCAGGGACTGGGTTTCATCGGGCAAACCGTGGAATTTGACACTCTAATCAAGCTTTGAGTGAAGTGGAAATTACGCAAAACCCTACTTTTCAAAATTCATATTCAAAAATCAAATCACAAATTTAATTTTTCAAAAATAAGATATTTCATGTTTAATTAAATATTAGTTATACAATTTTCATTCGAATCCTAATTAATTTCCCCGAAACCCTAGCAACCATTTTCAATATTCCTCCTCCTCCTCTTCCTCTTTACTTCTCACCGTAATCTCTTCTCACTCTCTCTACCAATCCTCATCAGCGACGCCATCTTCGTCGGCAGCCCACGCACCATCCCCGTGATACAGCACCTCTACAAATGGCGCAGCTTTGCGAGATACCACCTCCATAGACGACATAACCTTTTCCCCCTTCTCTGCTGATAGCCTAACCTCTCACCACCACTGCGATATATCGCGAGATACCAGAAGGGGCTATGCCACTGTGTGAGGGTCACCGATTAGAACCACCGAGCTCGCAGCATTGTTGTACCATCGTGGTTTTGAGATATTTTGGGCGTGAAGGATGGCGACCACGCTAGATTTGGCCATTTTTGTTTGTTGGTGGTGGTGGTTTCCATAGTGTGGTGACGTTTGGGTGGTTTTAGTGGCAGTGGTGGATCGGGCGCTACTGATGGTGGATTTAGAGTTGTGGTGATGGTGCGTCTGTGCTCTGCATCCTGATTTGATAGCTGTGCTGTGGAGGTGAGGT